TGAGGAGGGCACCTGTTGGGATGAGCACTGGGTGTTGTATGGAAACCAATTTGACAATAAATTTCATACCAAAAAAAAAAAACCATGCAAACAAACAAAGCATGCATTAAAATCACCTGGAGAGCTTGATAAAACACAGATTGCTGGGCCTCATCTCTAGAATTTCTGATTCAGCAGGTCTGAGATGGGGCCAGAAAATTTCTAACACGTTCCAGATGTTCCTGCTGCTCCAGGTCTAGGCACACTTGGAGAAGAACTGAGTTAAATAATGTTGAGCCCAGAAGGAGTCAGGTTGTGAACACTCAGGCTCACAGGGACATCCCTACCAACTTAGTGGCTAGCTGAGGCTGGTGGGGGAGGGCACTAGAGGCTGGAACTCAGAGAGCCAGGAACAGGAAGCCTTGGCCCCAAAGACAGAGAAGGCTGAACAGTGCTGAAGGTCCAGCGAGGCTTCCTTGCAAGGTTCCCCTTCCTGGAAATCATATACCCACCACGGCAAGAACATTTTCAGAAGGCTAACGCTGAGCATCTGAATGTACCTGGGGACGAGTGTGGTGGTCCAGCATCGTGAGCTGCACATATGTCTGCAGCGTGAAGCCCCATCGACAAGCATCACGGTACAGCAGACCCTGCAGAAGGGAGAACGCAGCACTTTACCCCAAAAACCTCGAGCTGTAGAACTCTGGTCTCTTCAGTCACTGATGGCCATCTCGTGAAACCCACATGGGGCTGTGATGGGGCCAGGGATGAAGCCAGCATGGTTGCAGGGCCCTCAGGACAGTGTGGACAGACTAGAGCAATTATAGGACAACCAAGTAACAGCTGTAATAGGAGCCTATATAAAGTCGGACAACCAAGTAACAGCTGTATAGGAGCCTATATAAAGTCGGAGGGAACAGTCATTCGGTGTTTACTGAGTCCCCTGCAGTCAGTTCTCTATCCAGCACTCAAAGTGAGCCCGTTAAACCTCACCCAGCTCTTGATGTTCCTCCACTCAGAACCTTCCAGGGGCTTCCCACTGAATTCAGAATGAAAACCAAACCCCTTACCAAAGCCCACAGGGCCCTAGAAAATCACTTCCATCTTCCCTTGTCTCCTACGACCCTTCCTCTGACTCAATGTGCTTCCAACCACACAAGCCTCCTGAGTGTCCCCCCTAAACACCCAAGCATGGCCCCACCTCAGGGCCTTTGCATTTGCTATGACTTGTAACTGAACACTTTTGCTCCAGATATCTGTACTGCTCACTCTCTATGTTTAAGTCTGTGCTCAAGTGTCCCCTTGGCAGAGATGCCTTCCCCAACTATCTTATCCAAAAGAACAGCCCCATGCCCATCATTCTTTGTTGCCAGTATATATAAAACAGTCCATGTTCCATTTTTCATTTGCTAATAATCTTAAATTCTGCTCGTTTCCACATTTTTCCTTTTTTTCTCTCTCTCTCTCGGTGCTAACTAATGAAATTCCAGTGCTCCGCATAGAAAACTGCAAACTCCTACCTGCAGATGAAAGAAAATCTCAGAAAGCTTAGGAGAAACACTCTCCATCTGAAGGCTGAACAAACATCTCCCTGCATCAGAAAGCCAATTCAGATAAAGTGATGAATTGACACTTCACAAAACTACCAATCTTGCCCTTCTGTCCAGAGCAGAAACGTGTCTAGAAATACCTAATTCTATCATATTCTGTATTATAAAACTGTCTTTGGAGATGCTCTTTGTCCTGAGGAGACTCAGACTCTTGAGACCGGGACTGTGTCCTGTACAATGTCACCTCTGAGCCCTAACATCTATGACCTAACTATCTTAGCTGGTTCCTAAAGAATATGAATGTTTCTGAGGCTTCTTTATTATGCCCAAAGAGAACGACTGGCATTCTATCTTCTCCCACATGCACAGAGGTGAAACTATTTTCACGTCTCTGGGATTCTTTATTCAAAGGCTCTGAGAACTTCTGCTTATTTAATTAATACCCTTTTGCCTGCTTCAGGTATCTTCACAGCTCCCATCACCACCTACCAAATCACTACCGAATTGTCTTCTGCCTCCCCACACCAGAATATTAAGGCCAAGAGAGCAAGAGCTTTGAGATGTCACTGCTCCAGAGTCTAAACAGTGCCTGGCACATGGCAGGCATTCAATAAATACTGGTTGAATGAACGAATGAATGAGCACCTACTAGGTGCCTGACAGAGCGCTATGTTGTAGCAAACACAGTCAGCCATATTAGTCATAGTCCCTGCTGCTAGTGCAACTCAGAGTCTAATGAACCACACAAGGAGATGTCACTTGTGTTGCCAGAAATGAGGAGCCAGCACAAGCTCCCCCTGCTCCACGGGTCAGAGCTACTAGCTCTGTCATTTACCAGAGGTATATGACCTTGGGCAACTTATTTCAGCTGCAGTTTCCTCACCTGAAAAGTGAAACTAATCATCCCTACAACACGGGGCAGGACCCCAGAACCATCATCCCTTTCTTAAGCTCCCTCTTACCAGACTCAACCTCCACCCATCTCTTCCAAGCAGCCAGAGCAGAGCCTCCCTCATGGGGATGGAAGGAAGGAGCTCAGGCACACTGTAGCCCCTGCTTGCTAGGTCCACCCTTGGCAAAGCAAGAGGTAGCTACAGGGTGAGCCGAATTCAGCCCCTGGGCATTGCCAACTGCAAACCCAAATCAGAGGTTTACCGAGCAACTTTGTTACTTAGAGACAGGTCCTAGGGGAGACCTAGGTTCTACTGGGTTCCTTCTAGAAGAGGATACGGGTAGAATGAGCCACAGGAAATGGACACCCCTGGCAGCTGAGGCTGACCACCTGGGACAGTTTAGGATAGTTGACAGAAGGTCCCTGTGATCTGCAAATGCCCAGCCAGGCCTCAGAGCTCCTTGACCTCAGAACACCAATATGCTGCCATCTTCCAATTGCCCCTCCCTCTTTTCTTCCACCCCAGCTAAGAGATAGGAAAATGCCTGGGCAGGGAGGGGGCAAACTCTAACACTGGCACACCATCCGCAGCCACTTAAACCAAAGCTGGCAGTTCACGCAGAAGACAACACACCCACCAGAGGATTATGGCCACGGACATTTCTCCACTTGGGCACTGGCTCCTGTAACACCTGCAAGGAAAGAAAATATCAGAAGTCTACTGTTCCTCACGATTTGGGCACCCAGGGTAGACCAAAATAGTGGGGCAATCCTCTCTTCGAAGCCACAACTCTATCTAGACATGGCTTTCTCACAGGACTTCCAAAAATGAGCTGAGAACTCTGTACAACCCTGAATACACACATACCACCCTTCTGGGTGCCCTGGGAGCTGAGGGCAAGGAAGGTTCTCTCAATATCTCCTTCAAGTGTTCCATCCCAGCCCTTAATGTCCCCATGCCAGGCTGGGCAGACAGGGGATAGAAGCCAAGACAGAAGCTACTTGAGACACTTCCGGCTGTGGTTTAAGGCCCAGCTTGCCAGCTTGGGGGCTCTCGCGTGACCTCAGCAATTTGCTCTGCCTCCATTTCCTCCTTTGAACTCTGCATTGGGCCCACTGACAGCTAAGAGTCACGTTTCATTAGTTTACTCCCTAAACTGTTCCAGAGCCTTTCTAGGGGTACAGGTATGTGCTGGAAAGGATTTAAATGGTACTCTCAGGGCCAAGAATTTGAGAGTACCCAGATCTATCTGGAGGCCTGAAAGTGCATGTAAGCAGGTTCTATAGGTCACAAAAGACCAAAGGAAAGCAATGCATGGAACCCATGAAGAGTAACGTCCTCTGACACTTTATACCTCTGTGCCTTTGCTCATGCTGTTCTTTCTGCCCAATATGCCCATCTCACCTCAGTTCACATCAACTTTCATTACATAGAAAATTCCTATATATCCTTCAAAATCCAGCTCAAATATCCTTTCCTCTGTGAATCACTGCCTGCCCCTCAGCCCTCCATTGCTGTCCTGAGTAGCATATGCTGCACCACTCAGGCCCACCAGAGGCTGGTCACAGGCAGCCTTGACCTGTGCTCAATCTATGGCACTGCCATTCAATACTTACTGAGGACTCACTGTGCCAGGTGCCATGCTAGGCAAGAACAAAAACCACCTCCGCCTCTGCTTTTACGGAACTTGAAACTTACTGGGAGAAGCAGACCTTAATCGTATCATCACAGAAATCACATATTTTCAAACTTCAAGAAGAGGTGTAAAACAAAGATACAGAGGGGCCAGAAAAATCTACACCAAGGTGGGTAACCTAGCTGGGGAGGTCAAAGAGCACTGAGCTGATATGTGAAGGCTGAGTTCTTCCTAAAGCCACCAAAGCCCTTCTTCACGCTACAGAAAAACCAAACAAGGGTGTGGCCCCTGGAGCCAGACAGCCTGGGCTGGGACCTGGCTCTCTGCCACACACTAGCAGTGTGACCCTGGCCATTCATGTAGCCTCACTGAGCCTTGGTTTCCTCCTCTGCAAATGAGGTGATAATTGCACCGACCTCACTGGGACTACTCTTATGAGGATGAAATCAATTAGATAATATATTGAAGCCTCAACACAGGCATATAGGGCCTGGCATATAGTATTATCCTCATTAGATGTGAACTCCCATTGTTGTTGTTTTTATTATTGTTGTCCACTGGCCCCAAGGTCTTACATAAGAACGTTAAGTGTTCCTAAAGTGCCATGTGGAGTTACACCACTCAGGTGTGTCAGGAGTCCCTAAGACCCCTGCCTCCCAAGGTTTGATGATTCACTATGAGGACTCATAGGACACAGAATATAGTGGTAATCACAGCTGAGATTTGTTACAGAGAAAGGGTACTAAACAAAATCAGCAAAGAAAAAGGGTGAACAAAGTCTACGAGGAAACCAGGCACAAGTGTCCAAAGGGCCTCTTCCAGGGGAGTCACCCAGGAAGCACTTAACTCCCCCAGTAGCAACCTGTGACAAGATGTGTGAGGTGGTGTTCCACCAGGGAAGCTGGCCCGAGCCTGGGAGTTCAGGGTTTTGATCAGAGCGCAGGCATGTAGGCAGTCTCTGGCCGGCACATCCAAAAATTCCAGACTCCCAGAAAGAAAGCAGGTGTCCAGACTAAACCATATTGCTTGCACAGACAGTTTAGGCACAGAGAGCCACTTCTATCAGTTGGGAAATGGTGGAATTCTCCCAAAATCGAAGTTCCTACACGCCAGTCAAGGGCCAACCTCACAAACAAGCCTCTCCGAGGACAGCAGTCTTGGGCCTGTGAACTCTTTCCTGCACAAACAAGACAAGGGCTACAGAATGTTTATTCTTTTTACCAAACCATATATATGTTTAATAGAAGTAAAAAGCAAGAAGGGAAAGAAGGAAAGAAAAGACTCCAAAGGTATGAAAATTGTAGGATCTATAGTGACAAAAAAGAGCCATAAACAGAAAAAATTACACCGCAGGTAATTACACCGGATAGATTTTAATCTACGAGGGAGAAAAGTCAGGGTCTTAGTGTAGAGGCACTTCTTCAGGATCTGTGAGGTTATTTTGAGTGACTGGCTGTAAATGAACTAGAGATTATGTTAACTGGCTCCCCATGGCAATACTCTGTAGCGTGCACATGGATATCACAGATGTGACACCATAATATGCTCCCCACTCTCAACAGTCTGACTTCCTTCTCCACATGCAGACCCCTCTTAACCAGAATGCAGGAAAGTCTATACCTGCACTGTCTGACACGGTGGCCAGGAGCCACTTAGAGCTATTACAAACTTCAAATGTGACTAGTCCAAGTTGAGATACACTGTAACTATAAAATATGTTCCATATTCCAAAGACCTGGCATGAAAAACAGAACGTGAAATAATTCACTGATGATTTTTATATTGATTACATGTTGACATGATAACATTTAGATTACGTAAAATTAAATATTTGGGTTTGTTCGGGTTTTTTTTTTTTTTTAGCAAAACCATTAGAATTTTACATTACATATGTGGCCTGCATTATATTTCTATTGGATATGGCTGGTCTACACCCTCTGTAAGTCACGCCATCAAGCTTTTACAGGTTCTTTCAGAGCCGGTGCGGAGGCCGTACCTCAATCCCTGTTGTTTTGGAGAAGAACTCGAGGCATGTCGTCTTCCCACTTGCAATATTGCCCTCAACACAGATCTAACAAAAGACAAATACAGATTAGAACCGAAAGTCGAGCATCTAGGTGAGCATCAGGGAAGAATTTCTAGGGAACGGCTCACGTGAACAGCATAACTGGTTCAGTCCAAGAGTTCAATGTGCACACAGAATTCCCTCCACAGGAAATACCCAAGGTCCCACCATTAGTAGTAACAAACTGATTCCCACCCCTGGTGGTCAGCTCCAGGCCCACGATTGGTGGCCACTGGTGGCCACTGGGCCACTGCCCTCCAAGACAGACCCTCCCTTACATTACTTCCTAGGCCATACATTGCTTGCCACTGGCCACCCTAGCTCTGCCCTTCCCTTGCTCAGCCCCTCAGACCATCAGATTTTAGGCCTAAGGGTCCAGCCTCCTTAACAAGAGCCTAATGGCTTTGAGGTTGGGAAGCATGTATATGTTATCTAGAACTTTTTTTTTGTAAATTTAAAAAAAACTTTTTTTTTTTTTAACGTTTATTCATTTTTGAGAGACAGAGAGAGACAGAGTATGAGCAGGGAAGGGGCAGAGAGAGAGGGAGACACAGAATCTGAAGCAGGCTCCAGGCTCTGAGCTGTCAGCACAGAGCCCGACGCGGGGCTCGAACTCACAAACTGTGAGATCATGACCTGAGCCGAAGTCAGACGCTCAACCGACTGAGCCACCCAGGCGCCCCTGTTATCTAGAACTTAACTCACTGCTTTACATGGAAGAACACACTCAGCTATGGACTGGAAAATATTCAGACTGGAGAGAAGGTTGAGCACCTTGCAGTAGGCCAGGCCCAAATATGGGCAACATACACCGTTACCACATTTCACCTTGCCAGAACCCAAGCAATGGGTCCTAACACTTTCACAGAAGTGAAAAATGAGGTTTGTAGAAGGGCATAAAGCAGAAAGGACAGCTGGAATCCACACTCTGCTGACACTAACTGCAGTGGGAGAGAGGGCTCACAGACAGCCATGAGGGCACAGTGACCTTTAAACTCAGGCCGGAGGCACCCAGAGAGACGTGGCCCACGTATGTGACTTGCCCAAGGCACCAGGCCTGGCGGAGGGAAAAGACGGAATCACACCTAGGTCTGGCAGACCCCTTTTCACAACCCCAGGGAAGCCTCAGTCACACCCCACATAAAACGCGGGGTCACAGTGGGCCATCTCACCTTGTTCCCTCACTATAAATTCCGCCAGTCAGCTGTGACTATTTCCTCCTGCCCTGATCCTAATGGGTATCGAGGAAGGCTAGACAACGACACTTCTAACAGATGCCAGCTCACTCCCGTAGAACTCAACACTGCAAAATGAACTCAACCGAGTGCACAAAAGGCATATCCCATCAGGGCAACTAATGGATGTGATGTTTTATTGCTGTTCTGTAAAGGAAACAAATTATTCTCTTCCCAGAAAATGAGAACAAGCTCAGCCTAGACACTGCTCTGCACAGACTGTTTCTTTCCTGTTCACTGCAGGAAACAGATTGCTTGGATGAGACCTTCCTCCAAAAGGGCGTGTTCCTATTCCGTGGTGGTGACTAACTTCACGGTTGCAGGTCAGCAAAGATGAGGACTTGAAGCGTCCTGTCTGGTGGCTTGTCCCCTGGGCACCTCAGTTTGTCACCTCCCAATACCCACATATGGCTCTTCTTCCTGTTCCAGTCCTCAGGAAAGGCTGCACCATCCACCCAGACAACCCAACACCCTGGTGTCTTCTGTCCTCACCCAGTAACTCAGCAACTCCTCTGGACCCTGCTTCCTACTCATCTGCAGAACCTGGGCCTGTCTCCCTGGCCCCTACCCTATGTGGCTGGAGTGGCTTCCCCACTGGCCTCTCTGCCTTCCACTCTGGCCCGGCAGTGACCCTCAACTCCACCCATGGCCCACCACCATCTCTTCCCGAGAGGCAAAGTCTTTTAGTGGCTCCAGGTGTTGGGAACTGTCTCCACGCCCCCATGCCAGCTCTCAGGGGACCGGCCAAAGCTTTGGGCCTACAGGGTCTCTTCCTTCTATGACTCACACTTGCAGCTCCCTCTGCTCCAACACTCCAGCCTCCCCCTTTCCTTCATCTCCCAGGAGGCCTCAAGGCTCCCCAAGGCTCCCCTCAGTCACTGTCCTCTGGACGCTCTGCCCTCTACTCACAGCCCCCAGGATCACTGCTGTTCCAGATCCACCATGGCCCTATTTACTGCTGTCTCTCCCATCAGACCAGGGACTGACTAGTGACAGGGGCTGCTTGGTCCCCAGATCCACACAGGAACGGAGAAGATTTGAACGATAAACAATAGCCACGGGCCTAAATGCAGGCTCCATACCACTTCTAATGGACCTACTGTGTGCCTGAGGGCATGTTGAACCATACCCAGAAAGCAGCCAGGGTAAGTCTGGCTCACATCAGTGCCTAGCTCGATAATTAACAGCACAATAATGTATCAATTCTCATTCAGCTCAACATTCTACCCCCTTCTCCTTCTGTGGTGTCAGAATCCACCCCACCTCTCATTTCAACATACTTTGGTAAATCTCAAGGCTCCCAATCACCAATCCTCTCCACGTGACTTTATTCCATCCTTGGCCTTCTCCATCATCCCGAATACCCAGGGCGCTTGCTCACCTTTTCTGCCCTCTGCAGATACCAGCCAAGGTATTCCTGCCACCATTCACCAAGCCACTTTCTTCTGAGCCACAGAAGCTACCGACTTCTGGCTCCCTCAAGAAACTGAGCCTCTGGATTGATGGTGACCAAAATATTGTTCCTCACCCCAGCCAGCTAAAGTCTCCAACATCCCCATGAACATGTCCAGCTTGGCCCTCCTTTGACCTTCAACCTCACACCAGTCCCAGTCCCATGCCAGAGCTGGCATCTCAAAGGCACGACACTGACTGAACCCATGTCTGGGGATCCACATGGATTCTCTCTGGTATCCCCACCCACCCACCCACCCATCTCAGCACTGGAGGACAGGGAGCAGCAGTCAGCAGATCTTCCCTCACAGCCAGGCTGCCAACCACTAACCCAAAATGAAACCAATCTTTGCCAGAAGGTGAGCATTTTTCAAATCCCTTTGTAATCATTCATCAAGCTGACAATCCAAATCTACCTAAAGGCTGTGAATACATGTATGCTCCTACCTGCGCAGACTCTTGATATAGAACCTCGTAAGAGGTGGCCTCTGGGAAGGGGGTCTGAGGCCCAGGAGTGAAGACAGACTTCCTCATCCCTGGAGATCCTCTTATATTTTTGTTTTTTACTATGTGCACATATTTCTTCACTTACCTCTTCTCTCTCCTCTCTCTCTCCCTGTGCATATACAATCCTCCCGCTCTCTCTCTGTATATAATCCTACACTGAGGAGTGCACATAAAAGAGGGACTTACCACTGATTTTTTCTCTTTTTCATTTTCTCTATCTTTATCTATAAAAGAAAGGAAATCAATTTTTAAAGTCAGCTTTAAGTAATTCACTCTTCTTTGTCCTAGTTTTCAAAACCACCACGAAAAAGTCATGTTTACACTTACTCCCTGGCCTAAAAATGTTTTCTGATGACATCTGAGTCCCTCCATGGGTGGATGGAGGCACCAGTAGACACCACTGCTGTCTACCTACATGGACACTGTGCAGCTGCTGCCCGGATCCTGTTGGCACCTCTGGGCCCCAATTGTGCTCAGCTTTTTTCACGTAGTATATCATACTTTCCATTTTCCAAATATTTCATATTTATGGTCCTCACAGATGGGTCCAGTAAGTTCAAACAGAGTAGCCTCCAGTGGGACGCGAGGGTTAAGAGTGGGCAGCAGGCATGGGTTTCAGCCCAGGGCTGACACCTTGGCCCAACCACCACACAGGCGCCACCCAACAACCCGAGGCCAAAGAACACTAGGATTTGGCTATAATGGTGACTCCCATTTCTGAAAGGGGAAGTCCCTAGTCCCAGGGGCAGCAGAAAGGCTCAGAGCCTAAACCACCCACCACCCACCGGGAACTTGTTAACTGCAGCTGCCAGCCTCAGTCTTCCCCAAGGCCAAAAGAATCAGGACCAAGAGTGGGACGGGGACTGGGGCAGCGCGCACTCGCGGGGGTAGCGGATCCTTCTGCTCTCTATAGGGCTCCCCAGCTCGGAACAGAGAGGGGCCGGAGCCCCACGGCCCCACCCACTGGCGGCCACCCACTGGCGGCCGGCTGGGGTCTGGAGTAGCTGCCAACGATTGCCCTCGACCCTCCACGCCCCCGCAGGAAATCCCGGAGGCTTGGAGTAGTTTCGGGTTCAGGCCAGAGGGCGGGGAGTGAGACGGGCAGCCGCTGAGACCCAAGGCGCGGGTCGCTAGACATGGAACCGAAAGAGGCGTTACCCAGAGGCCAGGCCCGGCGCTGCGCCCCCCGCGTCCCGGGGCCCGAGGCGGGGCTCCCAGTCCCCCCGCGCCGCAGCGCCTGGGCGGCCCAGCACCGCAGCGACCGCGGCAGCATAGCCCGGCGGGTGGATCCGGCGGCTACGTTTCCTTCCTGCGCCACTCAGCGCCAGCGCAGCGCGCCGCCTCCATCCCCGCGCCGGCTGCCGGGGCGCCTGCTGGCGCCGGGCTCTTAAAGAGACCCTGTCGTATTTCACCCTCTCTCCCACCCGGAAAGTACTTCAAGGTGTGGGCAAAGCCGTTTGCAGCCAGGACATCTTCCCGCCGACGGGACCCCTGACTTGGCAAGACTTGAGGGACGGATGGCCAACAATACCAACGACTGGTTGGTTAATAAATTATTGGAGATTACTTAATCGAGCACGTGTTCTATCCAGGCACCTGGCACATACTTAGGGTATCATTTATTCTTCTCAACGATGATCCTCCAAAACTTAGGTAACTTGATTAAAATGATCAGAAGCAGGGGCGCCTGGGTGGCGCAGTCGGTTAAGCGTCCGACTTCAGCCAGGTCACGATCTCGCGGTCCGTGAGTTCGAGCCCCGCGTCAGGCTCTGGGCTGATGGCTCAGAGCCTGGAGCCTGTTTCAGATTCTGTGTCTCCCTCTCTCTCTGCCCCTCGCCCGTTCATGCTGTGTCTCTCTCTGTCCCAAAAATAAAGTAAACGTTGAAAAAAAAATTTTTTTAAATGATCAGAAGCATTCATTAAAGGGATGAAGCCATGTATCTTGTTTCACAGCCTCTTCCCTCTCAACTTTGACATGTCCAGGGTCTAGACTGTAAATGTACTAGATCCCTCAAGAAAGTGTTAAAAAAAAAAAAAAAAAAAAAACCAACAGGAAACAGGTCCAAAATGGGAGTTGCTTATGCTAAGCCCTAGCTGACCAAACCAAGATTTAATTGTAGTTTGGGCTCTCCCAGAAATGAACCCTTAAGCCAGTCCATCAGGAATCGCCTGATCAACACTAGTTATGTAATCTGCCCGATAGACCCCTGCCATCCCCTACAGCAAAGTAACCTTAAAATAACCAACCCGCTTTTTTGCCTGTGTAGCTTCCTTGTTCTCACTTCCTTTTGCCTATAAAAGTTTTTTATTTTGTACAGCTCCTCGGAGCTCCTTTCTATTTGCTAGACTGGATGCCACCTGAATCATATCGATTTTTGCTCAAACTCTTAAAATTTTAATATACCTCAGTTTATCTTTTAACAAAGAAAGGCACAACCAATATGCCAACTGTGCAGACAACTGGGGGTGGGAAGGAAGCCTGTAAATCCCATCCATAGTCAGGTAGCAAAAATTCAGCCCAGGTGTGAGGTAGATGGGTATATATAATTCAACAGGCCCAGGCCCTGAAACCCAAGCTGCTGCAGTAAGAACTGTGTGTGCATGCCCATTCCAGTGCTTAAGTGGGGGGATTTCCCACCTCTCCCAGAAGTGCAAGGTGCTAGCAGTCACCTCTAGGACAGGGAAGAGGACGTCATTTATGAGAGGTTTCACTCAGTCTCTAAAGCAGCTACCCGAAAGCCACAACCTCATCTAGTGCTTTCTGTGATATCTGCCACAGACCTAGCACAGGGCAAACGTGCCCTCCACAAACTTCAGGATTAAGTGCAACATTTTTGGGACTTGGGATGAAGCTGTTAGATCAGACTGTGATCCCCTGGGGACAAGGACAGGGTATAAGGCCCAGGCCATTAGTTTAGATTACACATATTCTACATCTATTATGTGTCAGACCCTGGGGACCTTGCAAGGAGAGAAACAGACACAGGCAAGCCCCTGGTTTTGTGCAATTTATATTCTTAAATATATCACCTAGTGATAAGTGCTATGAAGAGAAAGTGATGGTGGCTACTCTAGACGGAGTGACCAAGGGAAATCCTCTCTGAGGGGTGTTATTTGAGATTCCCAAAGTCTGGGGTTGCCCAGCAGGCACTCCTGAACTCCACCCCCCCTCCCACCCCCATCCCGCACCCACCTCCGGAAGCACTCCCAGACAGGAAAACCCATATGGACTGCTGGAGAGCAGTTGTCATTGGTGCCTGGTAGTGCGGGATGGGGCGGCATTAAGAGGGACCAGCCAGCGTGGTTCCCCATAGGCCAGTGGAAATGTAGCAGGCAAACCCCACCAGTTCGGGGAGAGAGGGAGAGAGAGGGAGTAAGAGGGAGAGAGAGAGAGAGAAGGCGAGCGAGGCGAGCAATCCGCTCCCGTGGGGCGCATGCGCCCGAGTGCAGACCGCGGTGACGTGCGCGCGCGCGAGGGCGGGAATCCTAGAAGGGCCGCGGGCGGTGGCTGTGACAGTTGCGGTCGCCGCGCGAGGACTGGCGGAGCCGTGCGCTGAGGAGAAGGTCTGAAGGAAAGAAGCGTTGTTGCTGGGTCGGCTGCGAGCGCGATGCAGACGCTGAAGCAGAAGCATCGCCCCTTCTGCTTCAGCGTGAAAGGCCAAGTGAAGATGCTGCGGCTGGTGAGGCCAGGCCACCGGGTGGGGGCGGTGTTGAAGCGTGCTCAAGGGCAGCGGGAGATGGCTCTCAAGTACAAAGCGGAATCCCCTGCCTTCTCTTTCTTTTAAGTTGTTTTTTTTTTAAGTTTGTTTATTTTTGAGAGACAGAGACACAGCGCGAGTGGGACAGGGGCAGAGAGAGAAGGAGACACAGAATCTGAAGCAGGCTCCAGGCTCTGAACAGCACAGAGCTTGAGGTGGGGCTCGAGCCCTCAGAGCCGAAGTGGGAGGCTCAACGGACTGAGCCACCCAGGCGCCCCCCCTGCCTTGTCGTTCACCCTAGGCCTGCCGAGAGGCAAGGCAGTTGACTGTGCACCCGGGGGCAGAAGGAGAGAAGGCACTGTCTGCCCTTCAGGGGTTCACGGACACAGTCACAAAGCAAAGTGCGCAGGTCTGCACGAGTGGCCTCCACTTGGCCCTGCACACCAGCCACCCAGGTTACCAGGCCAGGCAGCTGTGCTTATAGCCCGCAGAGGACAGTGGGGCTGCCCGCTTCGTGGCATCAGGCATGGCAAGCGCCCTGCACTCAGGTCTGAACGGAGGTCTGGAGAGAATGAGCCATGATTTGGAGGAAGGTGCCCTGGCTGGTTAGAGCAGTAGAGATTGTCACGGGAGAATATGTTGAAGGAACTAAAGAAAAGAAAAGGAGAAGGAAAAAATAATGTTTACATTTTAAAGCGGTGACCTCTCTCTTTAAAGGAGGGGATGGAAATAGAAGTTACAGGGAAACAGTTCCACTTAATACGAGGGAGAATTGTCTATCGGGAAAGTTGCCCAAATTAAGTGGCCACACCACTTGGGAAGGGAGTACATTCCTGAACAGCCAAAGCTAACAGGCGTAGATGAGCGAGTATGCTGTAAAGGAGATTCACACTTCAGGTGAGTGGGTAGAACAAATTGCACACAAGGTTCCTCCCACACCAAAAGTCTGTGATTCTGAGAAACAACTATAACTTAATACAAGTCAGAACGCGTAAGAGAGGTTTAGAAAGTTACTTTAGAGTTCGAAGAACAGAGAGATTACTTTGGGTTAGGAGTAAATAATCAGGGAAGAAGTGGCCTCAGGGTCTGGAGTTTTATGCCCACTACTGGAAGCTCTGGAACACTGGAGGAGAAACAAGATCTTGCGAGAAAGGTTTAGTTTCAGACATATCAGTTCCTGCAACAAACATCTGGAGTATTTAGTTATATTCTAAAGATCTGACTTGGGCCCTGGAACAACGAAGACAACCAAAACAAAAGTCTCTGACTCACGGAATTTCTTCAGTGTAGTCAAAGAGACAGACCTATGAGCAGAGCCATACATAATATGTGAGAAGATGGGGATAGGCCAGAGAGTGAGACATATAACCAAGGACAAGATAAAGAGAGGTATCATGAAACTTCCTAGAAGAACAAAGGGTGGGGTCTGAAGGACAGCCACCTGAGCAAATACATGGAGGCAAAAAAACCCAGCATGATTTATGCAGCAAATTTTTTTTTGACTTGTGTAATGTTTTTACTTTTGCGAGAGAGAGGACATGTGGGGGAAGTGCAGAGAGAGTGGGGGAAAGAGGATCTGAAGCAGGCTCCGCAGCAGCCACCCGATGTGAGGCTCAAACTCACAAACCGCAAGATCATGACCTGAGCCAAAGTCAGACACTCAACTGACTGAGCCACCCAGGCGCCCCTGTGCAGCAAATTTTAACAAGTTGAGCATTGTTTTATTTTTTTCATTCAACAAATATTTATTGAAAGCCTACCATGTTCCAGGCTCTGCGATATCAGTGAACAAAGCAAAGATCCCTAGCCCTTAACAGAGTTTACATATTGGGGTGGGAGGGTGAGGAGACAGACGGTAAACACAATAAATAAATAAATGATGCAGTATTCTAAAAAGTGGTACGTGCTGTGGAACAAGAGACAAGTAAAGCCAGGGAAAGGAGTGTAAGGGGAGGAAGGTTGCAGGTTGCAGTAATAGAGTGATCAGGTTAGGCCTTGTTGAGATGACAACTGAGCAGCTGAGTGAGGCTAGGGTGTTAGCTATGAGAATATCTGGAGGAAAAGAGTTTAAGGCAAAGGAACATCCATGGCTCTGTGACAGGAATTTACCTGAAGTTTCAAGAAAAAGCAAGGAAACCAATGTGGATGCAGTAGAGTGACACAGTAGGGGGACACAGTGAGAGATGAGGAAGGTTTTGAGTAAGGTTGTACATGAGCTGACATTAAAAAAAAAAAAAAAAAAAAAAAAATAGGCCAGCTGCTATGTTGACAATAGATTGGTCAGGGGGACGGGGAGGTGGGGTGGGGTGGGAATTGCTGCAAGGGCAAGGGTAGAACCAAGGAGACCAGTTAGAGCTCTTGCAGTAATCTGGGCAATGAGATAGTAGCTCAGATCAGGATGTAGCACAGCAGGCTGCAAGAATGATCATATTTGGGATACATTTTGAAAGTAGCCCCAACACAATTTGCTGATGAACCAGATGAGGTATAAAAAAAAGAGGAGTCAAGATAACTCCCAAGTTTTTGGCCTAAGCAACTGGAAGGGTGGAGTTGCCATCCACCAAAAGCTTGTAGGTGAAGCAAATGTAGGCAGAGGATCAGAAGTTTAATTTCAGAATTAAACACTGGAATTATCCTGTGGATAAATTGTGAAGAAACTCTGCTAGAGAAGTGGACAGGAGCTGAATCCTTTAAGACTGAATACCATGATGAGAGGTAGGCTCTATTCTCAAGACCACAGGGATCCCTTGAGAAATGCACTTGCATTTTAGAAATTTTACTGTAATACCTACCTTTGTCATCATAGTTCAGGGAAGATATTGAAGGGCATTAGTTTAGGGATGAAGAGGAGGGAGTGAGTTCCCAAGACATTAGGCATCAAATCAGCAGGACCTGATGATTGATCAGTTGTGAGGAGTAATTAGGAACACTGATATTAGGATTTTAGGGTGGGTGATAAGATAGATGGTGGTATCTGGGGCGCCTGGGTGGCTCGGTTGGGCATCGGACTCTTGATTTTGACTCAGGTCATGACCTCACAGTTGATGGGATCGAGCCCTGCATCAGGCTCTGTGCTCACAGTGCAGAGCCTGCTTGGGATTCTCTCTCTTCCTCTCTCTCTGCTCCTCCCTCACTGGCTCTCTTGCTCTCTCTCTCTCAAAATAAATAAATTAAACTTAAAAAAAAAAAGATAGATGGTGGTATCACCAATTAAGATAGTGCATACAGGAGGGAAAGGCAAGGTGAGTTCAATTTTGGTGATGGTGAATTTGAGATTCCTGCAGGTACTCAGAGATTGCAGATGGCTAGTTACGTGTAAGATGTTGAGGACAGACCTGGGAGAAAGACCCACATTCACTGAGTGGGTCATAGACAGAATCTAAAGGAATGCCAGCATTTTAAAAGAATGAGTAAAGGCAGAGAAGCCCACCAAGGGAGAATAGTTGCAGAGATATAAGAACTAGGAGAGGTGACATGCCAGCCCAAGGAGTAGAAAAACAGGAAAAGACAGCCAATGACAAGTCATGAGGGTCCAGTTGCATAAGGAGTAAAAAATGTTCATTAAATTTAGTATTTCTGAAATCACTGATGATCTGAGGATAAAGCAATTTCCATAGAGTGGTAAAAGAAATGTTTGAGATATTAGTGGGATATTTAAAAGAGAACAGGAGACAAAGGCCAAGAGTTAGTAAAGATAGAAGAGCTGTAAATAATGGAACGGGGGAGAACTCAGTGTAACTGAAATCATGGGAACTTGTAAGAAAATGGATTAAACACCAATGTCAAATTCCATGGTGTGGAAAGTTTAAAGGGGATGAGGGCTGAAAAAGTGACCCTACGTATCATAACCCATGAGCTCAAGGGGGCGGTTCAGTAGAGTAAATGAAGTGGTTTGAGGTGACATGTTGCTAAGAGTAATTATGTTAATTACAAAGAATGACTTATTTAGTTACTGGTTACATTTGCTACATACTCAAACTGACCAATTTAGAAGCTTAAAGGTAGGCTGTTTGTATACGAATACGGTAATTGAAAGAATCATAAATAAGTAGCCTGAATAGATTTAAGGTCAAAAAGACTATGTAGATGGTACTGGCTGACAGACTAATCATAAAAGTCTAGCCAGGGAAAACTCTTGACAAAACCATTTTCCAAGAACATAGAGACTTTGGATAGAGCTGTAACATGACAGCTCCTAAGAACATGATGTTGACAGACTCCCTGGAACTTATCAGCTTATTTTTCTTTTAGTTCACTTTAACATTTCTGTGTTCTGTATCTTCACTTGGAAATGAGGTGATTGGATTAGATTAATTATCAAGGTTTTTTTCACTTAAAATTTTCATCCATTCTGATTGCATTCTATCTAGGTAAGAGAAAGTATGTAAAAAAAAAGTGAAGCATCAGAATTGTTGCATTTTTTTAATCCCCCCCATAGGGTTCTTCGGAGAATTGTTTTTCTTAGGAATTTATTTTAAAATTTTCTCCCCAGTATTTTTCATGGTAACATTCTAAGTTTAAATTTGATAGTAGATTCCAGACTGCTAAGAGTTAAGGAGTGATGAGCAGATGATAAGGAATTCTAGGAGTCAGTATACAGACTTTTTGAAAAGCATTACAGCGAGAAGTAAAAAACAGGAGTTTCTTTGGGGAGCAGGATGAATGGAAGGGGTGTGTGTGTGTGTGTGTGTGTGTTTTTTTTTTTTTTTTTTTTTTTTTTTTTTTTTTTTTTTTTTTTTTTTTTTTTTTTATTATTATTTTTTTTAACGTTTATTTATTTTTTCGGGACAGAGAGAGACAGAGCATGAACGGGGGAGGGGCAGAGAGAGAGGGAGACACAGAATCAGAAACAGGCTCCAGGCTCTGAGCCATCAGCCCAGAGCCCGACGCGGGGCTCGAACTCACGGACCGCGAGATCGTGACCTGGCTGAAGTCGGACGCTTAACCGACTGCGCCACCCAGGCGCCCCGTGTGTGTGTTTTAAGAGAGGACAACTTGGATATGTTTATAGTATGATGAAGAAAGGAACCAATGAGAAGATATTGAAGGTCTCAGAAAAGAAGATAGGTAGTAAAGAAAGATCAAGGGGACAAATGTGGGAAGTGATGGCATTAGTTCTGCAAGTGGAATAACAGAGAGGGACACCTAGTTCTCTAAAACAGAAGGAGAAGTCAGCATCCATACATTTTGGTCATTCCTCTTTTAGATGTGTGTATATATGGCATAAACCCATTTATTTAGTTACTTTAGAAATGATCATTTTTACAATTTAAACTTAGCATTCAATAATCATTGAATAAATCATGTTTGTCTGTTTTTATCCTTATAGGCACTAACTGTGACATCTATGGCTTTTTTTATCATTGCACAAGCCCCTGAACCGTACATTGTCATCACTGGATTTGAAGTCGCTGTTATTTTCTTTTTCATAATTTTATATATGCTGAGACTGGATCGATTAATAGACTGTTTGTTTTGGCCTTTGCTTGTAAGTGTTCAGTTTTATTAGACTTTTTTCCTGTCATAGTGAGACATCTTAATAAACTATGCTTTGGTTTTCTTAAGCCTTTAGGTAATGTCTGATAGGCTTAGGAAGGAGGAATTCTATCCACTGCTAATGTGTTCTGTATTGTCCCTGGTGCAACCACAGAGCATAAATCTGAGCTCCATCTATTAGATGTGACTGACCCTTCTGTCAGGAGAATTCACTGAACTGTAGATCTTCTAAAGAAATTTAAACTTAAGATCCTAGTTAATAAAATTATAGCACATTCTTAATCTCTACCTCCCTTTTAAATACATGTTGATATGGCCTCAAAATTGGGGGGAGAGATGGAGGCAGATACCCAAGTATCCACATCTTGCACATCTCTGACCACCAAATGGAAAACTGAGATAATTTGGGAGACTGAATAAAGCACAATGTTATCTTACTTAATTCTGGAAACACTAATGCTAAATAATGAACTTATACTGTACAACCTTATTTAGTAGCATATGAACTTCACCTGCCATACTTATAGCATTAAGAATAACTGCCCAGTGTAGTGCCTAAATGGTTCTAGAAACTGTCAAAATAGGCAAGTTGAAGATACTAGTTAAGGTGAATGTGTCCCTGGATTGTTACCCAGTTCTAGGAAAAACAGAGTGTCTTTACCTCTCTCTCCTCTTTCAAGTCTTACCCTCAATATCCTGTCTCTGTAAGTCTCCCTTCTGAGGCCTCCTGCTGCCCTTCCCACCTTTAGACTGGTAGCTGCACTGAAGTCTTCCTCTGCTGCACTTGTCTCATCCTCCTGGGTTCCAAAATGCTGATAGCCAAGCTGATAACCCCTAGTTAAGGAGAGGGACTTTAGAGCTATTCTCAAACCATAAGCATGCCTTCAGGTGGTACCTTCTAGAACCACTTTTGAAGGCCAGTGATGAATGTTTCAAGCTAATCACAAGCTGAACAGATCCCAAAAGGGGAAAGCTGGGAAACAGAGAAGATCTTCATAGCATCTCTCCAAAGTACTTGATCACACTTTAGAGCTGGACCTGACTGGAGGGAAGTCTAGGAAAAGAGATCACAATGCCTTCATCAGTTGACCCTCAGAGTACATAATGTCATTTAGTAGCAGAAAGGGCTAAGCTAAATTATTCCAGAGATTTCTGCAAGGACATGAACAGCATGGCCCATATCCTCTTTACTCAAAAAATGGTATAGTTGCTCTTCACATTCTGCTTTCCAAGGTTAATAAAACTATTTATTTTTCTCCAAACTAATTCTCTGGAGCTTATTACATGTCCCAGTAATACACTTGGAGCTCTAAGCTGAACAGAACACACTGGGAGGGAGAGTGTCCTATGTGTACCACACTGAAATTTAGTCTCCAAATCTCTGAGGATCAAACTTTGCTGATACTGTAATCTCTTAGAAATGGTGCTATACTGGGGCACCTGGGTGGCTCAGTCAGTTGTGTCTGACTCTTGATTTCATCTTGGGTTTTGATCTCAGGTTCATGTGTTCAGTCCCTGTGTTGGGCTCTGCGCTGGGCATGAAACCTACTTAAAAAAAAAGAAATGGTGCTGCATGGTCAACTATGGGATTATTATTCCATTATGAAAAGATTCCTCTCTGCTCTTGATCTAATGGAATCATTTGTTCAACAAGTGTTAAGTGTCTGCTAATCCCAGCTTCTGTAACAGGTTCTTTGATAAAACACAAATCTTACACCTGTGAGATTTTCAATGTAGTCAAGAAGCAAGATAGATGAGCCATTCAGCGTAACAGGTGCTGCAATAGATGTATACCCAGGATAGTGTGGAGGCACCAAACCAGGGAAGGGGACCAAATCATCATAGGCTTGCTTGCCTGGTAGAAGAAGCAGCATATGAGGGTCTAGTGGGGGGAAAGAGCATGACCTCGAGCAGCTGCACGTAGTTCTGAATGGCTGGGATATTGAGTTGTGGAGAAGAGAGGACAAGAGTGGAAGCTTGAGAGGCAGGAGGAGGTCAGAGCATACAAGGCTTTATATGCCCTGTGTTTTAACCCAAAGGCCATTGGAAGCTTTTAGAGTTTTTTAAGTAGGAAAATGGCATGAGCAGCTTACAATTTAGGGGATTGCTGGTGGCAGTATCAATAATGGCTTAAAGAGCAACAAAACTAGAGGTAGGTCTCAGAGACCACTTAAAAGTTTGGTTCTATAACCCTGACATGAAAATTATGAAGGCCTGGACTAAGGTCATGACAATAGCTGGAGAGAAAGGGGTTAATGGGGTAGAATTGATACGAATAGGTAAATAAGAAAAACTAAGAATACCTGCCACTTAAATATCTTGAGATGATAATGAGATAAGAAGTACAGGAAGAAGAATAGGTTTAAGGAAGGGCCAGGGAGACAAATGGAATGAGTTTAGTTAGACAAATACTAGGTTCTAGTTGCTTATGGAGTATTCAGATGGAAATGTTCAAAACAGGTCTGAAGCTCAGGAGAAAGAAGAGTTAAACCTGGAAGTCACCACCTTATGATGGTAAATGATCTCTGAGACTGGTCTAACTGGCACAGAGGGAAGAGCAAGCTGAAGGTAAAACTGGGAAAGACGAACATATGGGGTGAAAAGGAAGAGTAGCCAGAGAAAGACAGGAGAGAACCCAAGGGAGGCCCGTGTCACAGAAGGCAAGAGAGGAAAACATTTCAAAAAGGAGTGGTGAATATTACCACATGTAAAGAAAGAAAAATAAGTCCTGGAAAAATATATATATTCACTGACTGTGTTAATAGAGGCCCCTTTACCAGAGTGGTGTGCCTTGAGTGGAGAGGTGATAGTAAAGCTGAGGCAATAGATTGAGCAGGAGAAGAGAGACAACTATAATTACAATTGTAACTAGAGTTGTAACTCAGGGCTACTGAGTTGAAACCTGGCCAGGGACAAAGAAGGGTAATGAATAGAATAAGGTGCCTGCAGAGTGGTGGATGGGAATAGGAGCCAGAGCACAGATGGAGGAGATGCCTGGAACTCTTTTACTGTAACAAAAGTGAAGGAGTCAAAGATGGCTGCAGATTCCAATTAATCTTGCAGTTGTAACTTGTAAGGACTTCTGCCTCATGACCACTGTCTTTACTAATTTAGGAAAGGGCTTGGTCATATGCATTCACATTTATTATGTTTATCATTGTCCCAAAGTTGCAGTAACTGACATAGTGTGTAGAGCTGGCCTTCTCTGACTGTTAACCTTAAGTGTTCCAATGACAGAAAACACAAAGTGAACCAGCCCAGGGCTTTGCAGTGGTATCCAAGTGCAGGCTCAAAATTTCTGTGAAATCTCCATTTTTGTAATTAAATTAACATTCTACACCATAGTATATTGATGTTTGGTTTTCATTATAAACACAATGCTTTAAATGACTATTAAGGATCATTGATGTTTCAAGACAGGTACATCCTTTTCTATCCTGTGGTTCTCTACATTCCCTAGAATACCACCTTTACCCAAGGCCATTCATATACACTTACCTGAATTACTCACTGGAGGCAGGGTTGTCTACCTGAAGTAGAGGTGTGGCTTGCCTTGAAGCAGAGCAAAGTATCCAACACAGAGAAGCATTAATCTAGGACAGTTAATATTTCTTGCAAATGTGAATTTCTTCTTTTGTGCATCTAATCTTACCCTGTCCCCATTGAACCTCTTCCTATTTTCTTTTTAATAACTATGTTTCTAAGTTACCACGGGTTTAAAGTCTGATATTTCTATGTTAACAATACCTTCCTGCCTACAGTTACCTGCAAACAGATGTAAACCATCCAGAATAGACCATTTTTCTTTTCCACATTATACATCCATTCAAAATATAAGTTGCTTCCTTTAAAGCCATTGGTCAGAAGGCAAATGCTTTGTTTCTAGAAATTATAAATGAATGAGCTACATCATCAAATAACAGCATAATCAGCCAGCCATTTCATGCAAATCTGTGAAAGTTTTTTCCTGAAAATTACCACTTTCTGCCAAGTGTGTGTAGCTTTTCTTATTAATTGCATTTTAGTAATGTTATAAAGTTGTTTCATTTACAGTTTAAACTATTCCACATTTTCTCTTAGCATTTCGGCTTCCCAGTGTACCATTCTATTGTAAACCTTCCACACAATATATCATCTGCTCCCAACTAGATGAGTTCTCCCTCCACCTACATTTAAATAAAAAAGAAATAGATTAGGATGGCAGAGGAGTAGGGCAACCCTAAGCTTGTCTTCTCCCCCAAACAGCTAGAGAAATCAATTTGAACACCTAAGAAATCAATCAGAAGTTTTAGAGAACAAAGCTGCACATCTACAAATGGAAAAAACAACCTGTTGGAGATGGAGGAATTCACACCAAAAGAACAGGAAGAAAAAATGGCCAAGGATTTAATCATACAGATATAAATAAGATGTTGGAACTAGAATTTAAAACAACAATTACAAGGATTCTAGCTGGGCTTGGAAAAAGCATAGAAGACTCTAGAGAATCCATTTCTTCAGAGATAAAAGAGCTAAAGTCTACTCAGGCCGAAAATAAAAATGCTATAACCCCCAAGATGCAAACCTGAATGGATGTCATAACAGCAAGGGTGGACAAAGCAGAGGAAAAAATTAGTGATACAGAAGATAAAATTATGGAAAATAGTAAAGCTAAAGAGGGAAACAAAGATAATGGATCATGAAGGTAGACTTAGGGAACTCAATGACTTATTAAAATAGAATAACATTCATAGGAGTCCCAGAAAATGAATAGAGAGAAAAACGGGCTGAAGGTTTATTTGGGCAAATTACGGCTGAAAACTTCCCTAATCTGGAGAAGGGCACAGACATCAAAATCCAAGAAACAGAGAACTGCCATTAAATTCAAAAGCTGGCCATCGCCAAGGCATATCATAGTCAGAAGAATCCTGAAATCAACAAGGGGGGAAAAGTCAACCTACAGGGGAAGATGGATCAGGTTTGAGGCAGATCTGTCCACAGAAACTTGGCAGGCCAGAAGGGAATGGCAGGATATAGTCAATGTGCTGACTGGGAAAAACATGCAGGCAAGAATACTTTAAACAGCAAGACAATCATTCAGAATAAAAAGATAAAGAGTTTCCCAGACAAAAACTAAAGGAGTTCATGATCACTAAACCAGCCCTATAAGAAATACTAACGGGGACTCCTTGGGGGTGGGGAGGAGAGACCAAAAGCAACAAAGACTAGAAAGGAACACAGAACATCACCAGAAACACCAACTTTATAGATGACACAATGACACTAAATTCCTCTATCTTTTAATAATCACCCTGAATGTAAATGGACTAAGTGCTCCAAATCAAAGGACACAGGCTATCAGAATGGATTAAACAAACAAACAAACAAACAAACAAACAAAAAAACACTATATATATGCTGCCTACATTTAGACCTAAATGTAGACTCATTTTAGACCTAAAGACATAGGCAGATTGAAAGTGAGAAGATGGAGAACCATCTATCTAATTTGGCTAATATCTTTTGGCTAAGGGATGCCAAAAGAAAGCTGGAGTAACCATAATTATTTCAGACAAACTCAATTTTTAAACCAAAGACTGTAACAAGAGATGAAGAAAAGCATTATATCATAATTAAGGGGTATATCCATCAAGAAGATCTAACAATCAGGGTACCTGGGTGGCTTAGTTGGTTGAACGTCTGACTCTTGATTTCAGCTCAGGTCATGATCTCACAGTTTTGTGACTTCAAGCCCCACACATGCTCTGCATCGATAGCGCGCAGCCTGCTTGAGAGTCTCCCTTCTGCCCCTCCCCCACTCACACTGTCTCAAAATTAATTAATTAATTAAAGATCTAACCATTGTAAATATTTATGCCCCAGCTTGGAACACCCAAATATATAAATCAATTACTAACAAACATAAACTCATCGATAATGATAACAATAATAGTAGAGGACTTTAAACAACCACAAGAAAAAATTTGGAAAGACCACAAATACATGGAGGTTAAAGAACATCCTACTAAAGAATTAATGGGTTAGCCAGAAAATTAAAGAAGAAATTTAAAAAGTATATTGAAGCAAATGAAAAGAAAACATGACAGTCCAAAATCTTTGGGATGCAGCAAAGGCAGTCTTAAGAGGGAAGTACATTGCAATACAGGTCTACTTCAAGAAGAAAGGTCTCAAATACACAATCCATCCTTACACTTAAAAGAGCAGGTAAAGGAAGAGCAAATAAAGCCTAAAGCCAACAGAAGAAGAAAAATAATAAAGACTAGACCAGAAATAAATGATATAGAAACAACAACAACAACAATAGTAGAATGATCAACAAAAGTAAGAGTTGGTTCTTTGAAAGAATAAAATTGATAAACCCCTAGTTAGACTTATATCAAAAATAAAAGAGAAAGAACCTAAATAAATAAAATCACAAATGAAAGGAGAGAGATCACAACGAATACCTCAGAAATACAATTAGAATACTATGAAAAATTAAATGCCAACAAACTGGGCAATCTGGAAGAAATGGATAAATTCCTAGAAACATGCAAACTACCAAAACTGAAACAGGAAGAAATAAAAAATTTTAACACACCCATAACCAGCAAAGAAATTGAAATAGCAATCAAAAATCTTCCAACAAATGGGGCGCTTGGGTGGCTCAGTTGGTTAAGTGTCTGAATCTTGATTTCTACTCATGTCATGATCTCACAGATCATGGGTTCAAGTCCTGAGTTTGAGCACTATCAGTGCAGAACGTGCTTGGGATTCTCTCTCTCTCTCTCTCTCTCTCCCCCCAACCCCCACCCTCTGCCCTGCAAATAAACTTTAAAAAAACATCTCCCAACAAACAAAAAGTCCAGGGCCAGATGGCTTCCCAGGGGAATTCTACCAGACATTTAAAGAGTTAATACAGGGTGCCTGGGTGGCTCAGTTGGTTGAGCATCCAACTTTAGCTCAGGTCATGATCTCGTGGTTTGTGGGTTCAAGCCCCACATCGGACTCTGTGCTGACAGCTCAGAGCCTGGAGCCTGCTTTGGATTCTGTGTCTCCCTCTCTCTCTACCCCTCCCCTGCTCATTCTCTCCCCTCCCCACCCAACCCTCTCTCTCTCTTTCTCTCCTTCTCTCTCTCTCTCAAAAATAAACATTTAAAAAGTTTTTAAATAAAAATAAGAGTTAATACCTATTCTCAAACTGTTCCAACAAAATAGAAATGGAAGGAAAACTTCCAAATTCATTCTATACAGCCAGAATTGCCTTGATTCCAAAGCCAGACAAAGACCCCACTAAAAAGGAGAATTACAGGCCAATATCCCTGATGAACATGGATACAAAAATTCTCAACAAGATACTAGAAAACTGAATCCAACCTTACATTAAAATAATTATTCACCATGGTCAAGTGGGATTTATCCTTGGCCTTGTTCAATATTTGCAAATCAATCAACATGATACACCACATTAATAAAAAGAAAGGATGGAAATCATGATCCACTCAGTAGATGCAGAAAAAGCTGACAAAATACACTATCCATTCGTGATAAAAGCCCTCAACAAAGTAGAGACTGATGGAATATATCTCAACATCATAAAGGCCATATACAAAAGAGTCACAACTAATATCCTCAATGGGGAAAAATGGAAAGCCTTTCCCTTACAGTCAAGAATAAAACAAGGATGTCCACTCTCACCATTACCATTTAACATAGTACTGGAAGTCTTAGTCTCAGCAATCAGACAACAAAAATAAATAAAAGACATCCAAATCAGCAAGGAAGAAATCAAACTCTCACTATTTGCAGATGACATAATACTCTATGTAGAAAACCCAGAAGACTCCACCAAAATAATTGCTAGAACTAATATATTCAGCAAAGTCGCAGGATATAAAATCAACATGCAGAAATCTATTGCTTTCTATAAACCAATAATGAAGCAGGAGAAAAATAAATCAAGGAATTGATCCTATTAGCAGCTGCACCAAAAACAATTAGATACCTAGGAATAAACCTAACCAAAGAAGAAAAAGATCTGTACTCTGAAAATTATAGAACACTTATGAAATAAAGAAATGGAAAAGCATTCCATGCTCATGGGTTGGAAGAACAAACATTGTTAAAACGTCTATACTACCCAAAGCAATCTACACATTTAATGCAATCCCCATCAAAATACCGCCAGCATTTTTCAGAGAGCTAGAATAAATAATCATAAATTTGTATGGAACCACAAAAGACCCCAATAGCCAAAGCAATCCTGAAAAATAAAAAATAAAACTGAAGAATAAAAAATAAAATAAAATAAAAATCCATCACAATGCTGGATTTCAAGCTATATTATAAAAGTGCAGTCATCAAGACAGTATGGTATTGGCACAAAAACAGACACATAGATCAATGTGGAAAACAGGAAAGAACATTCAACTGAAAACAAGATAGACTCTTCAACAAATGGTGTTGGGAAAACTGGACAACATGCAGAAGAATGAAACTGGACCACTTTCTTACACCATACACAAAAATAAATTCAAAATGGATGAAAGACCTAAATGTGAGACAGGAAACCATCAAAATCCTACAGGAGAACACAGGCAACAACCTCTTTGACCTTGGCTACAGCAACTTCTTACTAGAAACGTCCCTGGAGGCAAGGGAAACAAGAGCAAAAATGAACTATTGGGACTTCATCAAGATAAAAAGCCTCTACACAGTGAAAGAAGTGATTAAAAAAAATTAAAAGGCAGCACACAGAATGGGAGAAGATATTTGCAAATGACGTATCAGATAAAGGGTTAGTATCCAAAATCTATAAAGAACTTACCAAACTCAACACCCAAAAAACAAATAATCCAGTGAAGAAATGGGCAGAGGACATGAATAGACATGTTTCCAAAGAAGATATCCAGATGGCTAACAGATACATGAAAATATGGTCAACATCACTCATCATCAGGGAAATACAAATCAAAACCACAATGAGATACCACCTCACACCTGTCAGAATGGCTAAAATTAACAAGACAGGAAACAATGGATGTTGGCAAGGATGTGGAGAAAGGGGAACCCTCTTATACTGTTGGTGGGAATGTAAACTGGTATAGCCAGTCTGGAAAACAGTGACCCAGAAGTTGCACTACTAGGTATTTTATCAAAAGGATACAAAAATACTGATTCAAAGGGGCACATGCACCCTGATATTTATAGCAGCATTATCAACAAAAGCCAAATTATGGAAAGAACCCAAATGTCTATCAACTGATGAATGGATAAAGAAGTTGTGGTATGTGTGTATAGATAGATTAGATACAGATACATGTAGATATAGATATAGATATATAGATCTATAATGGAATATTACTCAGCCATCAAAAAGAATGAAGTCTTACCATTTGCAATGATGTGGATGGGGCTAGAGTGTTTTATGCTAGACAAAATAAGTCAGTCAGAGACAGACAAATACCATATGATTTCACTCATATGTGGAATTTAAGAAACAAAACAGATGAACATAGGGGAAGAGGGGGAAAAAGAGAGGGAGGCAAACCACAAGAGAGACTCTTAACTAGAGAACAAACTAAGGGTTGATGGAGGGAGGGAGGTGGAGGATGGGCTAAATGGATGATGGGTATTAAGGAGGGCACTTGTGATGAGTACTGGGTTTCTTGAACAAAGAAATAAGCCTAAGCAGTTAAATGATTGGTATATCATGGGTTAAGAGAACCACTAGGCATCACTATAGACCAAATTCAATATAGGTGTCATCCTATAGTGGCAGTTTGATTTCCTAAAAAAATAACCCATTAAATTTCTTTAATAAAATGGAAGTTTCAAAATCTGTTGGCAGCTAATTCTTTTTTTTTTTTTTTTTTTTTTTTTTTTTTTTTTTTTTTTTTTTGATGATCTTCATGCAGAGCTGACCTTTCTATTCTGTGTTTTAGGATATTATCAACTCAATGGTAACAGCAATATTCATGATAATCATATCTGTGTTGGCACTGATACCAGAAACTACAACATTTATAGTCCTTGGAGGGGTAAGTGGAGGTCTTCCTGATTTCTTGCTTTAGGTTTGATTAGAATTAAATGTTGCTTGAAAAAAAAAAATATATATATATATATGAACAGAACTCTACATTATAATCATCCTTGGATTTCCTAGGCCAGTATATAGTACCTAGTGGCTTAATATTTTTTGTATGAGTATATGCCCTGATTAACGTGGAAGAATATGACTTCACCCTAAAACTGAAATTCACCAAATAGAAGTTCCTATATATTCCACCTCTATGTAGGGCTAGACTAGACTGAGAAAAGCTACTGGAATCCGTTACACTTAGCTCTGAGAAACCTCATGTCAAGCAAAAAGCCACGGATGACTTTCACAGCGCTTCCTTTTAAAGAAAAGGATACATGGGGCGCCTGGGTGGCGCAGTCGGTTAGGCGTCCGACTTCAGCCAGGTCACGATCTCGCGTGTCCGTGAGTTCGAGCCCCGCGTCAGGCTCTGGGCTGATGGCTCAGAGCCTGGAGCCTGTTTCCGATTCTGTGTCTCCCTCTCTCTCTGCCCCTCCCCCGTTCATGCTCTGTCTCTCTCTGTCCCAAAAATAAATAAACGTTGAAAAAAAAAAAAAAAAATTAAAGAAAAGGATACATACCACTTGTTAAGGTGAGACAGACTGCTCTGAACTCAGTTATTTTTTGTCCAGATCCTTCTTCAGATGGAATGTAATACAAAATGTCTCATGATAAGGTTGGAAGAAGCCTTATATTATTTTGAACATTGCTTGAAGAGAAGCAAGCCAGCTTAATCAGACTTGATCCTGGAAGGCAAGCCAAAATAAAAAAGAGTAAAATAATATGGTTTTAGTTCCATCTGATACTCTTCTGAGATTTCTTATAGGAGGTTCAAAATCATTTGGCTTTCCTAGACTCTGATCTAAAGATGTGAATTAGGAACTTCTTATGTAAACCTCCATCCTACTTCTTTGTCTTTCCATGGTATGGGCCACTGGGAGAACTAACCATTCTCAGCCAGCCATGTATGTCAGAATCCATAGTTTTTCATCTCCTTCCTAAGCCCTAAGCAACTTCATAGGGATAAGAATTATTCTAGAAATGAGATAGTGCTGTAATAGCAATTTTCCCCAGTTGTCTTTAATCTTATCCCTCTACTATGGAGAAAGAGGGACAGGGCATAGAATTTACAGTTAACCCTTTACAACGTTGACCTCCCACACAGTTGAAACTTTTTAAACTTTGACTTCTCAAGAACTTAACTACTAATAGCCTGTTGCCAGAAGTACCGATAACATGAACAGTTAACACATATTTTCTGTACCATATGTATTATATACTGTATCTTACAATAAAGTGAGCTAGAGAAAAGAAAATTTTTTTTTTTAAATTTTTTTTTCAACGTTTATTTATTTTTTGGGACAGAGAGAGACAGAGCATGAACGGGGGAGGGGCAGAGAGAGAGGGAGACACAGAATCGGAAACAGGCTCCAGGCTCTGAGCCATCAGCCCAGAGCCTGACGCGGGGCTCGAACTCACGGACCATGAGATCGTGACCTGGCTGAAGTCGGACGCTTAACCGACTGCGCCACCCAGGCGCCCCAAGAAAATGTTTTTAAGAAAATCATAGGAGAAATTACATTTATAGTACTCTACTACATCAAAAAAAATCCGTACATAAGTGACCTATGCAGTTCAAACCCATGTTCAAAGGTCAAGTGTACTTTCATTCACTTATTTTATTCATTCACTGATTCATTCTTTTAAAAGGTGCACTTTGCAGGGGGTGCCTGCGTGGCTCAGTCAGTTAAGCGACCGACTTTGGCTCAGGTCATAATCTCACGGTTCATGAGTTTGAGCCCCGCATCAGGCTCTCCACTCCCAGCACAGAACCTGCTTCAAATCCTCTATCTCCCCCTCTGCCCCTCCTCAGCTCATGCTCTCTCTCTCTCTCAAAAATAAACAAACACTGAAAGAATAAAATGGTGCACTTTGGTGGATGCTGACAAAGTATAGAGCTGTTGCTGTCCAATGCAGCAGCCACAAGCCACATGTGGCTACCAAGCAATGGAAATGTGGCTGGTCTGATTGAGATGAGCTATACAGGTAAAATATACACTGGATTTCAAAGACTTACTATGAAAAAAAATAGAATATTTCATAATAACTTTATTATATTGATGACATGTCAAAATTATATTTTGGATACACTGGGCTAAACAAAATATTCTCTTAAAATTAATTTCACTTGTTTTTTCTTTTTAATGTGGCTATTAGAAACTTTTAAATTATGTGGCTTACATTGGTGACTCACATTGTATTTCTTTTGGACAGCACTGGACTAGAATGTGAGCCCACCCTATCCTCACCTTGCTTAGAGCCTAATACAGGAAAGAGAAATGAAAACAGCTGTGTATAAGCTATTGACAGAGTACTGCGGGGTACAGAAAAAAGGAAGCAACTACCTCTCTTTGGCAGCAGAATCTCAATTTGTCAGGAATACAGGGGAGGAAAGGGGAATGGTTCCAGGCAGAGGAACCGGCAACGTGCAGGGTACCAGAGTCACAGGATAGGTAGGAGGTACTGAGTGTGGTCAGAACCTAAGAAGCTGAGTTTGAGATTCAGGATGGGAAACGGAGTGGTTATCTAGAGCCAAGAAGCCCAACTTCCAGGCCATGGGATGGAACTGACCAAATAGTATGCAAGAAATGATATCCCTCTTTTCCAGCCCAGGCACCAGCTCTCAAATAGCCATCAGAGTACCTAAAGACCTGGTTCTAGTTTATTCCCTTTACCGTAATTTTTTTTTTCCCCTGAGGCCTATTTAGAATCCTATCCATTAAGTGTATGATCTTCAGTAGGGCTCTAATACATGTCAGAGCAAGTCAAGACATCCAGACAAGTATTTATTTCAGAGCCTACACCACCTCAATATTATTTCTGCTCACTTAAGTTATCTTTTCTCTTTCTCTAGGCAGACTTGGAAATGAGAATAAAATGATTTCTGAAGTCTCTTCCCGTTTTAGTATTAGGTGGACGCAGAGGGAGCAATCTTGGTACCCTAGCAGGAGAGGAAGCCAGTGGGCACACACTTAAAACCTGTGTGAATGACCCAAGGCCAGACCATGGTCACAGCAATGACAAAGTGTGTTTGTTTCCAGGTGTTCGGACTCCTGGCAGCAGTGTGCTGTATTGCCGACGGGGCCCTTATTTACCAGAAACTTCTATTTAATCCAAGTGGTCCTTATCAAAAAAAACCTATTCATGACAAAATATAAGTTTTGTAATTTTATATTACTTTTTAGTTGATGCTAAGTATTAAATATATTTATTCTTTCACATATTTTCTGCAGTTGTTCTCACTTTAATCTCGATATGGGAGCTGGAAGAAGAGATGTAGGAATTCTGTGCCCAGCGCTCACCCATACTGTAACTTCCAAGGGAGCGCTGGGAGCACCAGGACCTGATCGGACTGGGTTTTCCTGCTCTGGGGCCTGGGTGGCAGAGAAGAAGGCGCCTAGGCCGCCTTAAATGGTCTCCGGAGCCCTCTTCCTGTCTGGCTGGCTGGCTGGCTGGCTGGCAGCACCGAGGCGTGGGATTGCAGGGATAGTGAGTTCCCAGCCTAGGCAGCGGCATCGCGTCCCAGGTGGCAAGGAGGGTGGCTGGAGGGCTTGGTCTGTCGGCGGGCAGCAAGAGCTGGGTGCGCGCGAGGCATAGGCGGACGGCGGCCGTTGGGCACGACGCTGGTTCCCAGGGGATAGCCTGGCCGCCCCCGCCGCCGCCATGCAGGCTCAGAGCGGCAGGGCCAGCCTGACAAAGCCAGGCTCGGGGACCACCATGAATGCCCCAAACACCAGGGCATCCTCAGGGAACTTGCAACAACAGCAGCTTACAGGACTCCCAGGGCAATCTGCAGCTGCGGTGCAAGCCTCACGCTCAGGGCAGGGCTCACGATCAAGGCAGAGCTCACGCTCAGGGCAGCCCACACGCTCGGCGAATCCAGCACCCAGTACGCCGCAGCCTGCAGTCGCAAGGGCGCAGCCTGCAGTCTCAAAGACGCCCCCAGGAAAGCAACAGCAGGTGACCCAGAGCGCAGGGGAGAAGGCCGCCATCCAAAAGCGTGCTGAAGAACAGGCCAAAGTCCCGTTCAAATTCAGGGACAGCTTCAAGCAGTTTTTCTTCTTGCCCACGGGAGTGTTGAAGATCCTGAGGCTGGTGAGCAGAGAGAGCTGGTGATGCAGGGTGGGTGCGGCCTCCGGGAGTGATTCCCAGGAGGTGCCACCTCCGGAGAGCTTCCCTACTTCCCTTTGCCAGTCACCTCTGTTTTGCCCTACCTTTCCTCCCCTTCTCCCCTCGCTCCTCCTCTCACTCAACCCTTAATACTAAATCAGCGCTGTTTTTCCTGTCTTACTTTTATATTCCTCAGGTTTTCCCTCACAAAGGGAATGAGGAAGCAGTGAAGATAATATCAGAAATGTATAAATTAGCAAACAAAACTAATAGAATTGACCAAAACTGATAAACCAATGGCCTATAATAGGGGGAAAAGGGTGAAGAGAGGACATATATTTAAAGTTAGAAACCAGACAGGGAAAATAATCACAAAGGATGAAGAAACTGAGAAGATACCCAAGATTACCTTGCAAAACAAATAAACAACTAATTGAATGAAATAGTTGATTTTCTAGGAAAACATAATTACCAAAACTGACCCCAGAATAGAGAAAAACCAATGTAAATACAGACCAATATAAATACAGAAGAAAATGAGAACTAAGCAAATGAGCATCCTTCACAGTATATCAGGGACAGACTTTTTCACACAATTAACTCAAACTTTCATGGGATGTAATTCTGATACTACTGAAACTTTTTCAAAGTATGGAAAAGGAAAAAAGCCCTTCTGAATTATTTTTCAAAGTCGTATATAACACTGGGGGCACCTAGGTGGCTCAGTCGGTTAAGTGTCTGACTCTTGATTTTGACTCAGGTCACGATCCCAGGATCATGGGATCGAGCCCCAGATGGAGCTCCACACTTGGTGTGGAGCCTGCTTAAGATTCTCTCTCCCTCTCTCTCTGCCCCTCCCTTGCTTGTTCTCTCTCTCTCTCTCTCTCTCTCTCTTTCTCAAAAAAGAAAAAAAAAAAAAAAAAAAAAAAAAAGTAATGGAACACTGATATAAAAACCTGACCAAGTCAGAAAAAGGAAATTAGAAATCTTACTTGTATCACAGCAATAAGTATCAATATATTAGCAGAAAATATTCATCAGTACTTTAAAAAAAATACACTATAATGATTCAGTATTAGGACTCTATTAAACTAACCCAACATATTATAGGTAAAAGAACAAATTAGATTACATCAAATAAGGAAAAGAACAAATTTGACAAAATTCAACATTTATTTCTGATAGCAAAAAAAGAGAGAGAGAAGAAAGGGACCCATAAAAAATAGGAATACATAGATATTTTGTTGACATTATAAAAATAAACCCAAAAGTCCGCATCATATATGATTAGATATCAGAAGTATTCCCATTAAATAAAGAACAGAGAGGATGCCCTTATCAATACTAGTATTCAATATTTTTCTGGAACAGCTAATCATCACAATTAGACAGGAAAAATAAAGAACAGTTGAAAATAAGAGGCAAAATATATCATTTTTTCAGCTGCTATCACTGTATATCTAAAGAACTCAAAATCACTGGGAAACAATTTAGAACAAGATACTTTCTACTAACTCATTAGGAGTTAGTAGAACAACACTTAAAATAGAAGAAAATATTCCTCTTTACAAGAGCAATAAAATGATAAAATATCTAAGATTAAATTAAATAAATTTGAGGGGCGCCTGGGTGGCGCAGTCGGTTAAGCGTCCGACTTCAGCCAGGTCACGATCTCGCGGTCCGTGAGTTCGAGCCCCGCGTCAGGCTCTGGGCTGATGGCTCAGAGCCTGGAGCCTGTTTCCGATTCTGTGTCTCCCTCTCTCTCTGCCCCTCCCCCGTTCATGCTCTGTCTCTCTCTGTCCCAAAAATAAATAAACATTGAAAATAAATAAATAAATAAATAAATAAATAAATAAATAAATAAATTTGAAAGACCTATATGAAGAAAACTTTAAAAACTCAGAGATATTTTTAAACCACTAAAATAGCTGGGAAGACATACTTTATTCTTGAGTAAATTTTTTAATCTTTCCAAATTAGAAGTTAAATGAAGTCCCAATTAAATACCAACAGGCTTTTAAATGAAATCCCAATGAAAATACTAACAGGCTTGGGTGCCTGGGTGGCTCAGTCAGTTAAGCATTTGACTTCAGCTCAGGTTATGATCTCACGATTCACAAGCTCGAGCCTGGGTTTGAATGAACACATACCCACTTCTCTCTCTCTCTCTTTCTTCCCCTTATGGGATTCTCTCTCTTTCCCTCTCTCTCTCTCTCTCTCTCTGACCCTTGTTCACTTGTGCCCTATCTCTCTCTCTCTCTCTCTGCCCCTCATGGGATTCTCTCTCTCTACCCCTCACTCACTTGCTCTCTCTCTTTGTCGTTCTCTCTCTTTCTCTCTCTCTCAAAAAAATAAAAATGCTAACAGGCTTATGGGGCACCTGAGTGGCTCAGCCTGTTGAGCAACCAACTCTTAATTTTGGCTCAGATCATGATCACAGGGTTGTGAGATCAAGGCTTGCATCCAGCTCCATGCTGAGAGCCTGTGGAATTGAGCTCCATGTGGAACCTGCTTAAGAGTCTCTCTCTCTCTCTCTCTCTCTCTTTCTCTCTCTCTCTCTCCCTCTGCCCCTCTCCCTTGCTCTCAATGTTTCTCTTTCTCTCTCTCTCTCTCTCTCTCTCAAAGCACACACAAAAAGCCAAAAAAAAAAAACAAAACTCCAACAGGCTTAGTTTGGGGAACTAGACCAAGACAAACATGGGATTTATAAAGAATCTGAGAATGAGTGCTGAAAAGGGGACTAGGTCAGACAATAATATAATATAAAATTAATTTCCTGTAATTTCAAAAGTACTAGAAAAGAATCGGCAACTCAGTAGGAGAGGATAGTCTCAAATAGACCCAAATACATGTGAGAATTTAGTCCATGATAAAGGTAGGATTTCAGATGAGCAGGGAAAATAACTGGTGTTTCCCAATGAATGATGTTGGGATGATCAACAGTTTGGAAAGAAAACTGGAGCTCTACCTCACTCTATCAAATCAGCAAATATTTACTCTACTCGTATGTACTTCTTTCCAGTATGAAGTAAACACTGTGAACGGCTGTTACTTTTAAGGAAATAGACTAGGATTGGGTTGAGGAAGAAGAAAGAAATCAGTATTATTTTTTATTCTTCTATACTTAAATGTCCATTTTAATTATTTCCATGTATTATTTCATTTCTTGAAAAAAAGAGAAATTTTACACATAAACTGTACGTACAAAATCATACAGGCAATTGCCATATACTCAGATTTTCTTCCTAACAGTTTGTGGGTTAGCTTTGTTTTTTAATAGTCCATGTGAATTAAAACAAATCCTGTTTCTTTCATTGCAGGGTCTTATCATAAGAGCATTAGTTTGTTTCATCACTGCCAAAGCCCATGAGTTGTATATAGCCATCACAGTTCTGGAAATGTGCATCGTTCTTTTTTTTATTATAATATATATACTAGAAATTCACCACTTGCTGATTTGTTTAGATTGGTCCTTACTTGTAAGTGTTCACTTTTGTAATTCAAATATAAGCTCTGCCCTTGGTCCCAGAGTAGCGTCTCTCCTCAAGTGAAAACCAAAGAGCTATCTTTCTGGACAAGGACATAACTCATCTATGACAGGGTGTTGCCCTAGTCCCAGGGGAGAAACTAGTCTAATACCCAGAAAGATTCCTTGGACCTCTCTGTCTACGGCAGAACGAATGCACACACCTGCTTCTGTCTCATTATGCACTGAACATGATAGTCTGCAGCTTGTCCTAACGAAAATTTCAATTAGTATATTCAGTAGGTAAAAACACTTCTCATCTATTGCTCATAAAACAGTACATGCTGCTACTTTTCAAACAGCAACTACTCTAACAAATTATTAAACATTTCGCCCCTGCAAAAGCAAGAGCTGGCACGGCGAAGTTGTAGAAAATTGTCACACATACCCAGAAAGATTGCAGGAGTCCATCGTTTCATGGGTATAAAGGGTCCACACTCCTAAAAGGGTGCCATATGATGGTGTTGCCTTCTTCAGTAGCTTTTTCCAGAGTTTCCTATTCTTTACCAACTGAAAGCTTCC